TTCACAGTGTAAAGCACATGAAGTACATTCCTGTTCTACATGAGGAAGTTATCAATTTGTATGAATAGCACCTACATGGGATCTAGCGTTGCAAATATGTTACAATATGTTGGTGGCTTTGGGTGGTTCTCATGAATGAATGCATGGTGGCCAAGCCAATTTAAAATGAGCTCAAGCAGTTAAGTGATATGCAGTAAGGAACATTTTAAGCTAGCAATTCTAATGTTATAGGGGAGGGTGAGTCCTGGGCTTTAGCTCAATTTTTACAGGAGCTCTCCATGGTGCTGGACCTACTTGGGGAATAGGGGCCAACAATTTGGCTAGATCTGTTGCAGATTCACCATCCCTGTGACACCGGAGTCGTGAGCCTCAATTGCCAATGATAACGAATTTGAGAAGAGAACTGAAGGACAAGGGAGGTGGGGCTTTTGGGTTGCCTTGTGATGCCTTTTCTTCCTTTCTTTCAGCACTCCAAAGAGAGGACAGAAATGGTTCTAACAGCAAGTCATCAACATACTGATCATGTTTTTATGCAATATTGTCCCCTTAAAGCTAGGGTTCTTGGCAGATTTTGCATTTTGCCAGCCCTTAGCTAAAGAATACAACCATCTCACCCTTATTTCTTCAGCCAAATGCATGTCAGTGAAGGCAGTGGAAGGTCTGAAATGCTTCTGTCTTGCAGACTAAAGATCAGTTTCATGATCACGTCTGCTCTTAGCAACTTGCATTCCCCTGAAACTGGATGGGTATATTATTACCAGTATATGTATATGTCTACTTTCATGCTGTTGAGGTCAACTGAGCTCAATGTGTAACTTAGTTATGTTTCCTCTTTCTTCCCTGACTCTCTGCAATAGAGATGGGGACATTTTTTTTAAAAAAGGGGCAATTAATTTTGATCCATTATTTGTCAAGTTTAACGGATCAACGAATACGGATATACGAATATTCTTTGATGAATTGATGGCTCGATCTGTTGGTTTAACTTCACTTTAAACTGCTTTAAAACTGGCCCCTAAGCACCCAGAGACACCAAATATGCAGGGAAGCTTCCTCATATGCTTTCCTACAACTTCTGAAAGTTTGGTGAACATTGGATCATGAACCCCTGAGTTAATATAGTCACAAAGAGGACCCATCAGGAAAGCTCCTCCCAGGTGCTTAGAGACTCCAGAATCACAACAGAGCTTCCAATGTCTTTCCCCAACACGCCTGCCAACTTTGGTGAAGATTGGATAGTGGACATCCGAGTTACTCACCCACAAATTGGGTCCCCCCCAGGATAGTTTACCACACAGCACAGAAGTCCATTCTGCCTACCGGCTGCCAATCAGCTGATGAGAAGCTGATAGTCAGCCACCCCACACACACACAGCCAGCCATGCCAACAGCCTATCCCCACACCTCTTCCTTTCCCTACCTTAGCCTCCACCCCACTCCCACCAACACCCTCTTACATTAATAGCTGCTGCTGAGGTCTCCATCAGACCTTCGCAGCCATGGCGCGTAAAAAGGGAGACTGGCTGCCCTTTGCAAAGATGGCGGCTGTGGCTTCATTTAGGATAGGGAAGCTGCAGCTGCCATCTTTGCAAAGGGCAGCCTGTATTCCGTTAAGGCAGGCTAAATTAATCCAGGCTGCCCTTTGCAAAGATGGCAGTTGCAGCTTCCCTACCGTAAATGAAGCTGCAGCTGCCACTTTGCCAAGGGCAGCCAGTCTCCCTTTTTACATGCGTGGTTGCGATGCAACAGTGATTAAGGTAAGAAGGTGTCGGTAGGGGTGGGGTGGGGTGGGACCTAAGGTAGGGAAAGGAAGGGAATGGGGGATAGGGGGTGGTATTGGGTGGCTGTGTGGGGTGGTGGCTGCCTTTCTGCCACCGATCAGCTGATCAGCGGCAGTAGGCAGAATGGTGTGTCTGTGTGTGTGTGTTTTAAATATGAAGGATGAATAAAAACAGGCAAATATTCGTCCCTTCATATTCATGGGGGTCTCTGGAACCCACAAATACGGATCGATGAATATTTAATGAATTGGCTATAGTCATTGGAAAAAGCGATCTGTTTTTATATTCGTCCCCATCTCTACTCTGCAATCATGTTTCTGTTTCTTTGCTTGTAATCTCTTGTATTGGATCAACATCTATGACTTTATGAAAACGAAAGCACTATATTGAGTAGACAGCTTGCCATTTTATATGCAACAGAATGTCCATGTACCTTGGCATGTAACCAAGGCGTATTTAGAATGTTCTGCTTGTGAAACTATTTCATCCAAAATTTAATTCTGTTTCCATGTGTCACACAAAGTGGACATGTCCACGAAAGCTTACAGTAAAATATAATAGTCTTTAAATTGCCACATGTTTTTGCCTTTTGTTTTGTTTGGTTTCTTTGGATTTTGCCAGAAATGATGGCTGTTTCTCTGCATGTGTCAGCACTGCCTCTCCTCCACCCTGCCTTGATTCTGTCTTGCTGTCTTTCATGGAAACCTTGAACGATTAATTTCAACAGAGAATTCACTGAGTGACCATCATCCTTCTGTCTACAGCACTGATAGTGAAAAACAAGTGACCATTATATTCTCTGAGGTGAAAGCTCATAGGTACCATGACACCAATACCTGAAGCTGAACCCTTAATTTTGCAGTTTTAAGGATAGACACTTGAAATCTCAACATGTAGTCAGGATGATTTTGGGACACCTCCAACATCCTCATCCCAATTCTGCAATGCCTAGTCTGGATGAATTGTTCAGAGGTCAAAAGCCTGGCAACACTTCAGAACTTCACTTCCTTAATGGTATTTCAGTGATCTGATAAGACATTAACTTAACCCTCTTATCGGATTTGGCAGGCGAGCCACATGGCTGTGTATTTCCTTGGTTTCATGTCACAATTGAGACATATTAAATGATGATCTTAAAACACTTTCAAATAGGTTTCTCCTCCCCAACAACCCCACTTCAATGTTTACAAAATCCAACACTGTGGAGTTCTTGTTATGCTATTTGCCACTTGAGGGCACCACAACTCCACTTTGTACATTTTGCTGCGCAAGAGAAATCCACTCCTTTTTAAGTGACCTGCTTCTGGCTATGGGTTTTTAAGGCAAAAGCAGATTTTAATTTTGATGAGCTGTTCACTCTGCGCAGTATTATCTCAGCGGTACACAGCATGAACCAATTTAATTGTATGCCTAATTTACAGGATATTGGTTCTTTCTTTTCCTTGTTTGCAAAACTACTGTCTAAACCACTGGTTCTTAACCTTGGGTTACTCAGGAGTTTTGGACTGCAACTCCCAGAAGCCTTCACCACCAACTGTGCTGGCTGGGGTTTCTGGGAGTTGCAGTTCAAAAACATCCGAGTAACAAAAATTAAGAACCACTGGTCTAAACAATGGAAATATACAGTTTATCCAAGCAACTTTAAGATCACTACCACCTCTCTCATCAATTGCTTAGGACAGTGGTTCCCAATCTTAATTAACCCAAGTGATCTCAGACTGCAACTCCCAGAAACCTCAGCCAGCACAGCGAGTGGTGAAGGCTTCTGGGATTTGCAGTCCAAGAACGCCTGGGTTACCCAAGGTTGAGAACCACTGGCTTAGGGAACAATTCAACTTTTATTAGAAAGAGTAGTTGGGATTTTGGCTGAGATTTAACACAGCATGTGTCTCTTGACAGAAAAGTTCTGTATTGAACAATATGATGCTGGAAGAGAGCTTTGTGGATACTCTGGACTTGCCAGAAAGACAAATAAGTGGGTCCTAGATTATATCAAGCCTGAACTATCTCTAGGGAAAAAAAATGATGACATTGAGGCTGTCCTACTTTGGGCACATCATGAGAAGGCAAGAAACAATAATGACGGTTGAAGGCAGCAGGAAAAGAGGAAGACCAAAAAATGTGATGGGTTGACTCTCTAAAGGGAGCCACAGGCTTGAGTTTACAAAAGCTGAGCAGAGCTGTTGAAGACAGGACATTCTGGAGATCACTTATTCATAGGTTGGTTATAGGTTGGAGGTGACTTGATAGCACATAACAACACGATTAAACACCTACATCGTTATCTGGGTAAGGGAAACAATATATGAAGGAAGCAATCCACTTCTAGAGAACTAATTAAGTAGGTAAGTTAGTGAGTAAGTAAATATTTACACCAAAGGAGGGATACGAATGGGCTTGTCTGTCACTAATAACAAAGAGCACCTAGAAAATGGGTAAGGGCAAGGTCGATCTAGTTTAGTGTCTCTGTCTTCGAGCGGCAGTGAGACAAATGTCCCTGGAACTGAAGCAGAAGCAGAAATAGCTCTTCCCAGTTTGTTGTTTGTTATTTAGCCATTATTGATGTTTGATTTCAGGATACCCCACAGCTATCAGGTTCAGAAATGAAATTATCTAATACAATACTTCCTCAGTTGAAATGATCACAATCCTAATCTATTACATTAGCATTGCAGGTGAAGATTTGGATGCTGGTCATGGTGGAGACACCCACATGGATTTCTGGAGAGGACATCCACAGGGAGTTCCAAGCAGTTCATATAAAAGTTACTTTTTGGGGCTGTTATTGCTTGAATCTCCTGGCCAACAGGGCAACTAGCCATACTAGCCATATTAGCTGGGGGGATTTTGGGAGCTGTACTCAAATAACACAACTTGATAAACCTGCAGCTCCAAGTTAGTTATCAAATTATAGCTCGGCCAGTGTCAAGTTGAAGAGTTTTTTTTACAGCCAATAACTGTATTTGCCAGGCATAGGAAAGCAGTGTTCGCCTAAGGTCCAAAGAACAAACAAAACCAATTATGCAGTATGCCTAAACGGGGCACCAGAATACTGCTAAGTCAGATATGCAAATCTAACACAGTAGTTTCATAAGTCAACACTACCATAACAACACTGAAGCTATGTTGGTGGTTGTGTTTGCTTAGTTCCAACTCCTATAGCACCAAGTGGCTTCTGCTAGTGGGCCAGTCTCTTTCGAGAGCTGCCCTAGTTATGGTTTTTCTATGAGATTTAAAATCTCAATGTCTCTGATTTTTGCAAGGGATTCTGGAGCACCAAAATTTTTTCAGTAAGGATTTAGAGCAGCAAAGTCAGGACTCAAAATAAGCAGTTTGTTGCAGATTCCAAAATTCAGCGAGCAGAATGTTCAAAACTGGAAGGCGGCAGCTTTGGAAACAAAGCATTAGCAGAGTTTTGAAGGTAAGATGTGGGGAACAATAATTAAATTATTGGGGTATATGTGCTGAATACCAGGGAAGGTTCAAATGACCCACAAATCCCCTCTCTTGACTCCCCCTCCATTTAGCCAAATCATGTCCTGTAATCTTCTAAAACATGCAACTAAGGGAACTAGCCAGTTCGAAATCTGAGTGTTCCTTTTGATAATCAGAATGCTAAATGACATACAGCTAAAACGATAACTAAAACAATTCATTTGTTTGAAACAACATATGTGAGAACCTGTTGCACAAACAAAGCAATATGGGATTGCTTAGAGTTGACTTTATTGACATTTGCATTTAATTTTATATGTAACAAAACTGTGTTATAGAAGCTAGAAAACAACAAGGCTACTGTATTATTTCTTCATCAGGAATATGGCTGCTTAGGGTGAAGTCTTAAAGCATCTTCTTATACATATACATTTGGAGATGATTGACAGGTCATTCTTAGTGCTTAGTTTGGATTATGGCTTCATGCACAAACCTTTCATTCATTCTGCTCATTTATAAATTGTGCATGATAAAAGGTGTCATTCGATATACAACTGCTTCTTATATGTTTTATTTATTTGTTTGTTTGATTTCTACTCCACCTTTCTTACTGTGGAAATATTTAGATATGAAGGCTGATATTCAGATATGTAATATAGATGACGAATTGATCTGTGAATTTTGGAATCTGTATTATATCATATATTTTGATTTGTGGTCTGATCTTGGAGTGTTGTTTATTATGTGGTGGATAACTTTTTCTTCTCAGTTTCTTTATTCGTGGGGTGCAATTTCTGGTCTGCCATGTTTTTATTGCTGAAAGGTTAGGTGAATTTATTGAAATAAAGCTATGAATACTTACTAGAAGAAGCAGCTAAATGCAAAGAGGTTGCATACTCTATACCCAGGTGGTGGGAGAAAAAACAGCTGAGGTCAATTGCCTTTATGTTCTGCCTCTGGGCTTCCTAGAATCATAGAACTGGAGGGAGAGTTACAGCCCATTCAGTCCAACTCCCTGCTCCAGACAAGAAATGCAGAATTTGATCCTTATCTCAACTGATGGATGTCCAGGCATTGCTTGAAGAGCTCCAGAGAAAGAAAACCAGTTACCCCTCTGAGGTTCAAACTAGAAGTTAAAAGAAATGCATATGCTCTAAGATTAGCTTGTTCTTCCTTCCATAGTTTGACTTCCTCAGAGAAGTGCCTTGACTCTCAGACTTGCAAATTAAGTGCATATACCTCCTGATGACCAATCACAAAACAAAGCACACTGAAATGCAATGTATGGAGGCAAGAAAAGCTCATTTTAGGACAAAAGGATGTTTTTCATTGCTGAAGGGAGCACCCCTGCTAAAAACATGGGGCATGTAATGTCTAGTTTGGCCTTAAATAAACTAAATGGCTTTATTGTTGAATTGCTTTTAGCACAAAGGAGTTTTTCTGAATGTTCAACCAAAAGTTTTCTGCATGTTCAACCAAAGCTTACTCACCTGTAATTTAAGCCCATTTGATCTCGTCCTGCTCGCCAAGGCAACAGAGAACAAGTCTTTGGCCTCACTTCTAGGGCAGCCAGCAATGACCTAAGGTCTCCCACCGCTCAAAGTGGAAGGAGGAGCCCTGGCATGGCCTCGTCTTCTGCATCCTGCAGACATGCCCATAGTGTTCTCTACTGCATGTGTACCTGCTTCCTTTTCTGATGCACACATCACCCCTGTGCACCTGCTACCTCCTCTTCATGAGTCTCTTTCTGCCAATACTGACATAACATTTACCTGGCCTCATGGTGCTTAACCTTTCCACAATGGGGAGCAGACAGAGGGAGGGAGGGTAGCAGCAATAAAGACAAGCTGCACAACCAAAGGAGCGGATGAGCATGGGAAGGGGAGCCATGGCATCCGGGAATGAAGGTAACAGCACTGGGGGCCCTTGCTGTGAGGGTGGCAGAGTTCACTGCCTCCTGGGTCTTGCCACCTCAGGCAGCCACCCAACCAGGCCTAATGATTAAGCCGGCTCTGGTGACAGCCTTTGAGGCATTTGAAAAAAATATTATGGCCTCCCTCTTTCTTTTCTAACCTGGGCTATGCATGACCAGTCTCTTCAAATTTTCTTCAAGAAGTTTGTTTTCCTTACCACCCACCCAGCATCCTTATTGTCCTCCTCTGAACCAGTTCTGATTTGTTTACATTCTGCTTACACAGCAGCACCCAGAACTGGATATTCAGTCCCACAGAGAAGGTTTGATACATGTAGAATAACATGCAAATTCACAGAGGACTCCACCTGGAGACAGCCTGCTAACTCCCTCATTTCCTTCCTTTATTCTTCCTGTTTCCAGGCATAAACGAGCAACCCAACACATACCAACCCCCTTTTATTGGAACCACATACTTTGGCCACAGGTGAAAAGGATCACTTGAGACCTGACACTGGCATGCCCCTGCAGTAATGTTTTGTTTGCAGCAGCTTGGGTAACCTGTTGCTTAGCAGCCTTCACTGTGGCTTTTGTCAGGCTGTTGAAAGCAATTGGCGGCCAGGGAGAAAGGAGATCTTTCCATCTTTCGGACTGCTTTGTCAGATCACTGGCTCTGTTTCCTAACTCCGTGAGGAGAAGTGTTTCAAAAGCCAAATGATATATAATTGAGGAATGAAACGTTAAACCCAATTTATACATAATTTTTGAGATATTTAAAAATTAAAACTGAGTTGCAAAAAAAAATTGCCCTGGCCCTTCAAACATTAAGAAAACACAGCATAATTTACTCCTGGAGAATATATAACCCTTCTGAATGTATTACACTCCAGCTGCCATTATCCCTTATGACTGATTATGTTGGCTAAGGCCGGTGGCAAATTTGTCTTAACAATTTGGAGAGAGCCACGTCCTTCTCCGTGCCTGCTGTATCCCCCTCCTTGCGGAGACCAACTATAAAACTCTTTTCTTGACCTCTTCTATGCAGGCTATTTTAATTTTTCTGTCAGTGGCCTGGGGAGGTAGATGAGCTGCTGAACACCATGGGCTAGTACATCATGTTCACACTCATGTCAGGACATGTTGCTGTGTGTTGGATAGCATATTTATCCAGGTGTGGGATGGGTGCATGGTGGGGACAATTCACAAAAATCACCTTTAGGGGTCTCCACCTGGGCAACACATGAAGGGAATAGATCATATTGCAGAGGTTTGAATTCCTGTTAAAATTCATTTTTTTCCGGTTACATAAGTAGGTAAATTTATAGGGGAGAAGCTACAAGTTTCCCAGAATCCATTCCTTTCTCATTAACTGGCACTTTAAGTCTCAGTAACTCACTCTGAGACATTTGTAGAGGAGAGAATAAAAACTTTTCATTACAGTTGTGAGTAGATCAACAGGAAACAAAATAATTGCCTTCAATTGACTAAAGAGAGGAAAAGAGAACACTCAGCAGAGAGGTGGGGTTCTCTTTGAATTCAGAGGCGGAAGGGGATGGTTCATGCTGGAGAGATTGTTACTTCATTCCAGAAAAAGTCTTTCCCAATCACCTAAACCACAGGCAGCAGAGACGTTGTAAAAACTCCAGCAGCTCATGCCCACAGTTTCTTTCATGGCATGGGTCTACTTGTAGGTAGATGCTGTTGGATGATGATGGATAAGTAGCTTTCTAGCAGAAAATGGACCCCAAAAGTTTCCCTTGGATTTAATTTAGATAAACATTTGGTGAAAGAAGCAGAGACTCTACAACATAGTGGTCCCAACATGGCATAGGGGCTACTTTGATGTTAAGCACATGTTTTTCATGCAGACATTTCCAGGTTCCATTCCTGGAATCTTTAAGAATGTGGAAGCACCTGTTTGAACCCCTGGAGAGCTCCTGTTTCCCAGTGTAGACCAGTGGTGGACAAATTCTGAGGACCATTTCCCTACCCGCAGTTTGGAGGGCTGTGCCCCCATGCTGATATTTACTTGGCAGCTGAAAAAGTGGCCAGTGATGTCCGGAGAAGCCTTGGGGGGGCATGCATTTTGCAATGTAAAGATTATTTTGCTATAGGGGAGGCAGGCTGTTTCCAGTTCAAAATAACTTATTTCACACACAGGAATGCCAATTCCAGTCTTTTAGGTGTAAGAGAGGCTATTTGGGGGCTAAAATGACCTCAAGGGGGAGCTTCAAATAGTTTTTAAATAGCAGTACAGTTGCAAGCTTCTGAGGAAGCTATTTGCTCCTATTGCTACATTTTTTGGGGGGGAGTATTATGGCCTGGGGGAGGGACATATGTAGCCCACTCTGTGCAGTTTGCCCACTTCTGGTGTAGACAGGACTGAGTTAGATGAAACAATGATCTGACTCAATATAAGACATTTACTTCTGAACTTTTCCAGCACATGCACAGTGGAGCTCTCTATTGAAGGTGGATCTGTTTAAAAAGGGACTTGCATAACAGTCAGAAAGAACCTTTATCACATCCCCTGAACCTGTATTCTACTGCCTTTACACACTCCATGAAGACTTTTGTAACATTCTAACTATAGAAGGAAAAACAATTATTTTCATAATGTGCTAGACATAATGGAGAATTTTTGCAGGGTATAGAAAGTTACTTATTGAGACTACAATATGTGGATGCTTAGCCAATAGGGCAATCCTTGGCTAGGGGCTGTAGCATTCAGCCCTGCCCTCACCTGTCCGTAACAGCTGGGCAGTGGAACATCAGCCAATGAGGGGACGGAAGGTGGTGCCGAAGGAGGAGGAGCTGGTATATATAAAGGGGTGTATGAGGTAAGAGGGGAGATTAGAGAGAGATTTTGTGAGAGTGAGTGATGAGTGTGTCTAAGGACCTGTGAGCCAAACAGTCAGTGAGGGAAGAGTCTGTGTGT